TCAGTTTCTTTATCTGTCCAAATATTGTTGTCTCTCTCTCAAGGCTTCATCTCCACCTATCGTTTACTCCTCCCCTCCAACCCAACCTCATCTTCAACATATATACCAAACTTTTCCTAGCTATCAACAGTTCTGAAGAAGGGTCACTGGACCCAAACTCTGCTTTCTCTCTGCAGACGCTGCCAGACCAGCTGAGTTTTCACAGTAATTTCTGTTTTTGTTTCTGATATCCAGCATCTACAGTTTTTTTCCATAAACAAATGCTACTCAAATAAAGAGACTGCATTTAGACAGTATCTTTGGTTTACTCTGGATGTTCTACTTCATAGTCAAGAAGTTACTATTTAAAGTGCAGATATTATTCCAAGGTAAAATCTTTGCACAATAATCTACTGCAAGCAATCTCATAAGTGACCAACTAATCAGTTTGCTAATATTGGTCAGATTTACAAGAAAACCTTTGGTTTTATTTTCCAAAAATTGACAGGCTTAATGTGTCAAAATGTAGTAGCAACCCACCATGAGTAGCCATTTGAGGTGTTGACCCAAGTTACTGTCTAATGTTCTATAAATGGGGCTTCAATCCATTGACCTTCTGACTCAGCTCTTGGTGCTAAACATCAAGAGAGGGACTTTGATGCTAAGGGCTGCCATCCAATGTAAATCGCAACAAATTTTGAAATGTCTGAATTTTTCCTTATGATTGGAAATCGATTAATTCAATTTAAACACTAGTGATACTCTTGGAGATAGCAGGAACTGCAGATGCTGGAGAATCTGAGATAACAAGGTGTGGAGCTGGATGAACACAGCAGGCCAAGCAGCATCAGAGGAGCAGGAAGGCTGATGTTTCGGGCCTAGACCCTTCTTCAGAAATCAGTATCAGTGATACTCTTGTATTCTGCTGGGAGCTATTTCCCTTGTACGTGAAACTGCAACTCTGTCATTCAGACATGGCAGCCGGCACTTTTGTTGCGTATTATGCCATGAACCACAACTAGTGGTTTGGAGACAGCACATTTGGACAAAAGGATCAGGGTTCATTATTCATTTTGTATCTGTTAGTTATGCAATGCCAAAGCCAGATCTTTTATTTCACTATCCTATGAATAGTTTCCTTGATTGTTACACAACAGAAATATATGCAGGGATTATAAGTGTGTATGAAATGACAGCAGATGCCAAATTAATTTTTATTTATTCACATCTGGAGACCAAATGTTGTTAACGACCACTCTGAAGAAGTTAATGGCTGCTATCACAGAGGAGGAAAGCATCCAATGTGAATCTGGCTTTAAGTTCAATCGGGGGTGGCTACACAGATGAAAGACAAAAGTATCATTACACTATAATGAAACTACTTTCATAATCTATTTATGAATGTCATTGTGTGACATTGCTCTGTTCACAAAACTAGATTTCCGACAGTTAGTCCCAATAACAATTAAACAGAGTGAGTAACTTTATTGGGGGTGGGGAGTGGAGGAGGGAAGGGAAGACAAATGTTTTCTTAGCTTTTGTTGCAATGGGTATGCAGAAGATTTAACAGCTGGATTCTCAGTACTATTTGTATCAATCTGCCTCTGATATGATCCCATCTTGAAACTGAGATCAATTTAGCATGCAAACTTTGATTTACTGATGTCAAGTATGGCATATTTCTGGTCCAATCTACTTTTCCTTTACCAATGTAAACCATTAGAGTTAATAACGGACAGACAATCCACCTCCTAAAAGCAACTCTTGTTCTTTTGGTGGGAAAGAAATGTATCAAAACCTTCTTAGAAGATAATTCTATAAGTTAAAGGGCTGGGCTATCTAGTATCAGTTATTACATAATCTGTTTTGCTGGAGTGCAATGTTACCAAAATTCATACCTTGACTGGGAAATAGCACTTTCTATTACAATCAACTAGCAACATTTTTTTCTGCAGTGTTTGCAAGTCTCTTAACTCAGAACGATTCCTCCCCTTAGACTGCTAGGTCAATCGAATCATGTTTAACTACCTTCATCTTAGCAAGCTTACTCAGCAAACTAAAATACAGACCACAGGGAAGGCACACACCACCCACAGCCTTCAACTACTGTTTCTATGCAGAAAAATGACAATGCTACTTCGGCAAGGAAATTTAAGTGATGCTAAACACCTTATTTCACCTTCTGGAATCTAAATATTGCTGCTGACATTGCCCATCCTAACAAAATGCACAATTACAGTGCCCTAACTCTGGCCAAAATAAACGTGCTAAGAATAAAAAGACACCCTATTGAGATTTGACTTATGCCAATGATTTCCTAACAAGTCCCCGTCATGTTACAGAATAGGCCAATCTAATATGCAATGAAAAGTACTAAATATATTCAATGTTGTTGTACCAGATGAATTGGCTATTAAAGCAAGATTTCACAAGCTATCTAGTTTATTTGTTCTACCTGAAAGAAAACTCCAATGTTCCAGATCAAATCTAGCTGAAACCTACTGCACCCTCCCCTTCGCGTTTCCCTCTTGTTCACTGGTGGGGGAGGGGTGGGAACTGGTTTATTTGCATTTCAAACTGGTATAACAGAAATACAGTCTTCTTCTATAATTAAACATAGCAATAGACGCTAGAGAATCTATCAACCGCAAATCACTCTCAATAATTTTTGTAACCACTGCAGCACTGCTAAAAATATCTTAAAATGGTTTTAATAACAGTATTTTTCTAAATCACCATAATCCTGTTTAAAAAAAAAGCTCAGTGCAAACCTATTTCCTGTATGTCATAGGATGATGTGTTCTCTCCCCCCCCCCTCCTCCACTTTTATATGGTTGGATTAGGGAACAAAAAAAATCTCTCAGCATATCTAGACATGACCTTGCCTTTTTCATTAACAATCGGAATAAAGTTACCACTGTGTTATTTGAATATATCGATGCAATCTAAATGATTTTGTAACTGAAATACAATTAGGAATTTAGAACAACTTGACATAAAGGGTTTCTTGACCATAACAGATGGATGCTTGTATGAAGAACACAAACATGGGACATTTTAGTTTCTTCTTCTGAACCAGTATAGCATAAAATGATCTACACAAGATTCCCACCAAATGAAAATGAGATCTTATTTCAGACACTGACGTTTTTTTAAAAACAAAACAAGTCACCAAGTAACAGTAAGTAGGCAACTCCAGCACGCAACCTAAAAAGATAGGAGTCCCTTAATAAAATCTTTCATCTAAAACATTGAAGATTGCCCAATATATACTCAATCTCCACCACTACCATTAGTCTTAAATTGAACCAAATGATACGGACTGAGAAATACTGAAACCACAATCAACTTTACTCCTGAAATTGAATTTATTTTAATGTTTTTATAACACAAAAGATATTTTTTAAATAACATGACTTTATTGTAATCTCTGATTCGATTAATTGTGTTTAGGTCTTCTTGAATTTTAAAATATCCATTAACCAATCCAACAGATTTTCTGAACATTATAATACATAATATGATGGAAGAAATTGCAGTCAAATTCCTAACATGTCCAGGAATTCATAAATATTTCCCCGTGTGCTCATCCTAGAAAATAATCCACGAGTATTCCAATATTTAAAAAATCCCCAAAAGGCTGAGCTTCAAAAGTTACGATCGATCTATCATTTCCATTCATGTATATATAAAAGTGCAAGGTTAAATATAAAATAAATGTAGAAACTATTCTTTTATTTTTGGAAACAGATTGTCACTTCAAGCAATGTTTTGCAATTAGGTATTTCCATTTCCTTTTAAGTCAAAAGAATACGAGATATGGTAAATCAAGCTTCGGTACACATCCTCTGACGGGTAGATACAAATGCATGCTTCAAATGCCAAACGTGAGGCTTGATGCTTAGAATGAGGCCGCCATTTTACTCACGCTTAGCACCACACGCTACGTTCTGCACTCCTATTTTATCATTTCCTTTTTGCATCAATACTTCATTTAAGAATAAAAAACATTCTCCTCATTTTTACATTAGAAACAACTTGCAAACTGAATAGCTTCCTTTCACCATTTCTTTCTGGTTTTACAATCAATTTTTTTTTCAATTTGTATCCGTTCACTACACGATACACTTTGGAACGCTGCTTCCTGTCTAGTATATAAATAAACTTGCGCGAAATTCAGCAACTGTACATGAAAATCAGAGCCTCTCAGGTAAGCTGAAGCACATTTTGCAGAGGTACCTTTAAAATTGTATCAAGTTGTTTCCCTTAATTAATTAAAATACGATATATAAATTGACCAAATTGAAATCTTTCTTGTGCTCGTATTTGTTCCTGTTGTACTAGGCCAAGCAGTATCTGATCACAGATGAGCGCCAGTTTGGACCTTTGCTATCACTGAATGCGTTGTGTTCCCCTCCCCCACCTCTGTTTCCCACAGACAGCCCCGTCCTCCATTATAGCTCCCATGTGTCTAAAACATAGTCAGATCTTCATATCTTTCTCTCTCTTGGGGCTGCAGCTTGCAAAACCACCAATATTTACAGTATTAACATGAAACACTTGTAAACTTTACGTTTGAAAAAACATAAGGTCCAATAGCTTCAAAAGCATACACAAGATTCCCACAATCACATTTAGCCAAGTCACGGGCAAGAACAAAAATCGAAAAGTGTTTGTTTCATTTCCCTTTTCAGTGAACGATGCTCCTCCACTCCTGAGCGATTAAAAGCTATTAGGTAGCATCAGAAAGCATACTTGAGAAGATCGACCCAAGATCCTAGCAATGTCACACAATAATAGAAATACTGTAAGACAATCAGTGACCCCTTTTACGGAATGAACGGTGTGAACTTAAGCAGCAGCTTGTGTGTATGTGTGTGTGTGTGCGCGATCTCACTCACAGCTGCAGCAAGAAGCCGGCACTTTCTCTGGTTTCAGTTTACCCTGACGGGCCTCGAAGCTAGGCCCACATAATAGTACACTCCACAGCGTTTATCGCACACGGCACGATCTACACTTACCGTTTAAAATGCTCGATAATCTTATCTTCGCGCACATTTTCCGGCAAATTCCCCACCCAGAGATGCCTGGTTTCTCGTACCATCCTTAGCGAGTCATAAGGCTCCTTTTCTGTGCGAGTGAAAGTCCGGTTTTGCGTTGGCGATGGTTCCTGCCAGCTCGGCCCGGGTTAATCCTTGAGGTAAAATCCCACCATTCGGCTAACGCACACACACACTCTTTCTCGCTCGCGCCGCCCGACCTGACGCGGTTTTTTTTCCTCGAGACGCTAACAGTTCGTCCCTAGACCCGAAATTGAACCACATTGCGCAAGCGCGGGATCCGACGCCGCGGGCGCGCAAGCGCCACGAAACCCCGGGTCGCCTTAGCTCAGCGTGGTAGCACGCAGGCGCCAAGGAAATCCTTGCCCTTTCTCCACCCCTCCCCTGGCCCGGCATCCCAGCCAAAAGAACGAACGCTAACAGCGCCTGCGTGACATCCGATGAACATTTCCACGCCCCGGGCGAATCGTGCAATCTACGCATGCGCGGAAAATGCGGCACCGTTCTCAGCCCGAAGGGTATAGACCGCAGCAGAAACTGGGGATGGGGGAGACGTACGCATGTGCAGAAAGTGACCGGGGTGTGTTTTCTGCGCAACCGCACAGACTTGGTATTTAGCTTACTCCAGTGACTGGAAGGAAAGTTCTCGAAAAGCTGCTGTCGGTGCAGGAGCACGATGAATAAAGAGGAACCTGAGAAAGCGCTATTCCAGGAATTTCCACTATTTCATTTAAAGAATAGATCTGTTTAACCTGTGTATAAGTGCCTCCTTCGACTAATACTAAATTGGATATTATGAACGATTTGGGAAGATTTTTAGATGGCTTGAACGCCGAAATGACCGATATGAGGAAATACAACTGAAAAAACTTGTTACCATTAACTTCCTTCTTATCAGAAAGCTGCTGTGTTCGTTCAGAATGGGGTTTTCTTACAGGAATATCGTCATTCCACCATTCTCAGCCCTCTTTGTCCCTGTCTTTGTTCCCCTCCCCCTCTCCTTGTCCATTTGGGCGCCATTTTAAGGTGATGGAAAGTTCTGGAGAGTCCGCCATTTTGTGGCGAGCAGTGTTCTGCCTTAACAGGGAGTGCTGCGCATATACAGTGCTGGAATACCAGGGATGTAGTCTACTTTGTGTCTTAAAAATAGTGGAATAACAAGCAATTAGCACCCCATGCGATCTAAAAATCTGGTCTTTTGGAAGATGCTATTTCGTTTAATAATAGCATTAAATAAAACTGGCTTTACGTGCAGCCTATACAGATCAACTGATACAAGTTCGCTTAAAATAATAGGATATGTTAAATTTATATCAGATTGGAGAGAAGGAAACAATTCTCTGGGGAAAGAGCAACAGTTTGGTTAGTGATGCCACTGTACAGTAAGTGTTTCAGAAAGGATATGAATAATTTTTTATTAATTTTTGCATTTAAAGTTTCTACGTCACCTCTCAAACATACATCTGCAGTCATTAGTACCAACATAGCCTGGATCACATTTCTCTCGTTCTAATTGTAAATTTATAGTAGTACACAAAGAATACCCGAAACTTGTGTAAAAATCTAATGTTGGTATGGCTCTTTTTCTGGTGAGCAATTTTGTTCTTGGATAGGGGCCATATTTTTCTTAAGTGTTGACTGAAACTGCAAATTATGATTCAATCCAGTTGCTATGTCAGTCTAAGATGGTGAATGTGATGCAATAACCAAATTTTGGTGATTGCAAAAGGTCTGGAATTTCAGCAGAACAAAATTTGTAAGGTTTTATTTTGCGTATGAAATGTATTTGGTGTCCTGAAAATTAGCATATCACAAAAAAAACTTAATGTATTGTTTATCAAAATTTTTAATTTTATCTGTTAAGGGTTTATTAATAGAGGATTAAACCCTTTCAAAGGATGTGACTCCTAGGATCAACACCCTTGGTGCAGGATACCCACATTGAGAAGATAGATTAAAAAGCTGATGATACTATAGCTTGGCTTTTAAATGTCTGTAATTGTTTTGAGTAACGAAAATAGCGCACTCGTGATGTGGATATATTTCCCAAGCTTGCTCTTTGTTACTTGGTATCCACCCAATGTGTTTATTCAGCGATTATTTTTTTTTTAAATGTAATGGCTGCACTAGTAACTAGACTAATTTTGCGTTCTGGTTAGTGCAGAAGCCTGCACCATTCTTACACTTCAGTTTTTTTTTAACTTTATTAATGGCAAATAAATTATCCTTGTACTGTTAGTGTGGAATTTGGTCTAACAGTTGATCAATAGTGTATTTTGTGGCCATGATATTGGACATTTTTTTTTCAGAAAGAACATTACAGATAACACTAGGTTGATGGGATTCTGTTTGAAACTTATGCTTCTCAGGAATATCTGCAGTAGGGCTTTCTGAAGGTGGAAAGAGGAAAAGTTTCACATGGTAATGCAAATATTTTGGGAGTTGAGGGAGTACTTGTTTTCATTAAACTATTTGATGATGCCGTATAAAGCCTCTCTCTGAAATAAATGGTGATATGATATTGAATGACCATTGAGAAATTTTCTGTAAGGCAATCCCTTTGCTTTAAGGCATTTTTTTGTACGTTAAACAGACATAGCCTTGAATGTTCGTTCCATAGGTCAATGTAATTTTAAACAATATGTCTTGTTTAGCCAACATTTCTGGTGAACCTTTTTGGTGTTAATTATTCTTTGTATATATTCCATTTACTCTTCTGGAGAGTGTTATGATGGAAAAGCTTTTAAAACCACCAAACCAAGCGAAAGTTGAGATCTTTCAAAGAGCGGCGCAGATAGGGTGTAAGTATAGACTCTTGGGATGTACTTTTGAGATTGTCATTCACATATGTTCTGCAGTTTAGCTTCATTATCCACTCGGGTGTATAGTAGGAAATGTTTTGCAACAGATCCAGTGTTTCCCAGCAACATGTGTTATGGAAACTGTACTTCACAAACAAAAAATTGATGCTTTACTGCAGTTGTGTGTAAATGTAAATATTTAGTTACTATGCAAATATTTGCATTATGTTTTGCATATGATGTCAAGTGTTCTGAGTATCCTACTGAATTATTCTTGCCTCATTTTCCAATTCCCTTCATCGTTGTGACCCAGAATCAGTGTCACTTTACATTCTGAGATCATGCCATTCTTTCCAGGTTGCATAGGACAATTGAAATTATTGTCATAACCTTTTTACAAAGTGGAACAATGTGCATTGTTCTTCAGATAAGGACATATCCAATTTTGAAATTCTCATTTCTGATGTAGCATCATGCTGATTCAATAATTTCTGGTTTTTAACTAAATGTCAACAGATTTTTGAAAATGCCAACTGAGAGCAGAGGAGGAAGAAAATACTGGCAAGGCTGACTCCCAAATCTCAAATGACAAGAAATGTTACGTTCTTTCTTAGTTTCTGACATGAGAAGCTTGAGAGTTCAATTTGAACAATGTGCTTGATGTTGTGACTAGATACAAGAGATATTGAAGTAAGACCTGAGACCATTAACTGTCCTAGTATCTTTGCAGCTAGATAACTTGGCTTGATGGATTAAAGATTGAGTGGTATAAACTCATTATTTATCAGTGCTACAAAAAAATGTTGTGGCAGTCTTGTGCACTGCATCATGTCTAATGCACTTGACTTACCATAAGCAATATGTGATACATCTCCGTGCTGAGGCTCAAACTGGGTTGCATCCTTTGCATTTGCATGGTTGTCATTTCCTCTGGTATTCTGACTTTGAGTGTCCAGTCTGCTACTTGCATGGTTTTTTTTATCAAAATGGAATGTAAAGCTTAATTTGTAAATTCCTTAGTAGGCTGGGAGTAGTCAGACAAACCAGATAACCCCTGATTAACTAAATTTTTCATCCCTCCAATGTCATCTTATTCATGTGCAAGGTTGAGCATTATTTCACAAATTTTGATTTACACCACCACCACGGCGGTGTGGAACTATTAGTAATAAATTACTAAATAGTTTGGAACTATTGTTTGTCCATTTGTGAAAATAAAACATCTCAAAATTAAAATATTTCTCCAGGTTCATGTATCATTTACTTTTTCTCTCCTGAAAGTTTTTTGTGGTGTTATATAAGCTCTGACATTCTTCCAGTCCTTCCCAAACTGACCATTTTTTTGCATGTCAGTATGTTAAGTCCTAGAGTGCTTCATGGATCAACTTGATCTTGACACCGATGTGCATTTACTTTACAATAGGGGCGGTGAGAAAGCAAACAGTTACAAATGCCATTTATTTCCATAATTAAAGGATATTGAAGCTAATTTTTTTTAAAAAGCTCCACTGTAATCCTGCCTTTCAGAATTCTGAACATCTGTTTTGATTATTCCACTTGAACAAAGTACTTTCAAAAATGAGTGCACAGATAATTTATACATCTGAATGTTGTTGCTTTTAGCTTAAATCTGCACCTACGTAAGTTTTCCTGACTTGAAATGAAAAAGGGCAAAAGAAAAACTAGCCTTAGAATCATAATTTGTAGTAACATGCAATGTCCTCAGAAGTGTGGACACTATTTGTAGCCATCTGTGCATTGGAGCATTTGTTTGTGTGATTCCTGTCATGATAAATCTTGGTATCTTTATTTAGTATTTCCATCAGGCTCTTTGAAATGTGGAAGATAACTCTCTAAGAAGAGAAGAAAATGTTTACGTAATGCCTTTTCACACAATAGACATCTCAAAATACTTTTGAAGTGTAATCATTGTTGTAGGAAACTCAGCCAGTTTCCATGCAACAAGCTTCCACGGGCAACAGTGTGATTAATAGCAAACAATTTTGTAATGTTCAGTGAGGGATAAATAGTGCTCAAGGCTAATGCTGTGCTCTTCGAAATAATGCCTTGGGATGTTTTTCGTCGACCTGTGAGTGTTTCTGTCTAATATCTTCTGAACAAGACAGCACTGCTGACGATGTAGCACAGCACTCACCAGTCAGCTATTTTGTACACACATACTGGAGTGGAACTTGAACTCAAAACCTTTTGACTTGGAAGAAAGTGCAATCAACTGTGCTGTAGTTGACAATGCTAAGAGATTTCTTTTATGTAAGATTCTATATGTTTTAACATGAAGAATAATAAAAAGTAAATTTTGTATGAATGTAACTAACTTTTCTGGGAATTTTTGCTAACTTCTATATATGTGCATTTGTAAATTTCCAGTGTCATTTTGACTGTACTTTTTTTTTTAAAGAACTTGCACATAATTGTAAAAAGTTAAGTAAAAATGTTCAATAACATTAAGTATTTGAGCACAAGTATTTCTAATGTATGGTGGCTAATTTATGGTGTGGTTGTCATCCAATAGTGCATTTTGGAATCTCCACCGCAATCTACATGGAATGCAACTGAGGGGTACAAATGTTGAAATGTCTTGGACTGACCACATGTCTTGACCACATCTATGCTAAGTTGACTGTTTGAATAGCAGTTTGAAGTACAGTTAACCTTGAAACAATTGAGCTGGGGAGGGAAAATATTTTGATACATTAGGTTCATGTAAAGAATGGTCATGTGAAATTTACTTGAGGATCCATTGTTTCTGGTCTGATATTCCCAGCCACCTGAGGTGCAAAGTAAAAACTCTAGGTATGGAAGAATGGGAATTGCGTGGGGAAATTTTGGGTATTTCAAAACAGGCCAAAATGCATTGTTGTAAAGTTGGCAGGTTTTTGAGATTTTTCCATCTGTTAGAATATCAGTTCCTGTTGGAAATACCATTATCCATCTGTGCTACAAATATATTGAATGTAGTACTGACCTAGGTGACCATTTTCATTTGTCTGGCACTGAAGCTTCAGCTGAATTGAATTTTCAAAGATGTGACCAAAAGGTTTGCAATTGGTTTTAGACTGTTGAGTAAAATTTGCATTATTGTGTGTTAACTTCTATTTAAAATAGATATTTACTACAGAAGGAATCCTCCTGTTCTTTATATTACGTATGATTGTGTTTGGTTGGATTTTTCATTGTATGCTGTGTTGATTTTTAGTTTTTAAAAAATGCTTTGACACTTGCTTTCTGCTAGTTTACTTGCTATTCAAACCTCCTTGAGGTGGGCCCTGACTGGTCTCGCTCTGGCGCTCGCTCTCTTGGCTGCAGACACAGACTTGATGGAACAAAGTTGTCAACAGTGGCAAGCCATTCACAGTTTTGTTGCTAGCATCAAAGTTTTCTTTCTAACACCATCCTTACTTCAAAAAACATTGCACCCTGGATATATCTACACCAAATGGAGTGCAGTGGCTCAAGACTGCTGACTACTACTTTCTCATTAGTATGAGCAATAAATAGTGGCCGAGTGAGGCAGTGCTCCAGAACTTGTTACAAATCATGCTGACTTTATTTTCCCCCTCCAATCTAAGGAACACTGAAGCTAATTGTAGCAAATTAAACAACTAACAACTAAATTTTGATAATTTATCTTGCCACTTTATTATAGTTTTCTTTAAGAAGAATAAAAAAATTGATACCGCTTGTATATTTTGATACACTTATGCACAATTGTACAATAGGAAGCAGTTACTAAACTTCATTGAGGGCTCATAACTTTTTATTACAGTTAAGAATAGTATAAATTGTAATTTAGGACCTGAATGCTATATACTAAAATTTATTTTGTATAGTGAGAAGGCCCTATGAATATAAATCAAAAGACTTTAAATTTTGGTGTGGATAATAGGTAAGCAAGCAAGTAAGAAAATGTTGAACATAGCTTATGTACGTAATAAAGTGAAAACAGGCACCAGAAATTAGTGGTCATTTTCCTGCCTATTGCCCTCTGCTCATATTCCAGTTCTCTAAGTATGGAAAAATATTTGCAAGATACTAAATAGCCTCGCCCAGTATGATCACCAGCAACTATAAATGTGAAGCAGCTAGAAGCAAGGATCGCTGGAGAGCATTCAGGACTAGTGACTAATTGTACTTCTCTTTGTCCTAGGTAAAAAATACTATCACCACTTCATTTCTAATTAAATTAGAGTCAGAAAGCTGTACAGCACGGAATCATATCCTTCAGTCCAACATGTCTGTGCCAACTAGATATCTTTTACAAATTTAGTCCCATTTGGCCCATGACCCTCTTAGTTGTTCCTGTTCATATACCTATTCAGATGCCTGTTAAAATATTGTAATTGTACCAGCCTCCTCCACTTCCTCTGGCAGCTCATTCCATATGTGCACCACCCTCTGCAATGAAAAAGGCCCTTGGGTCCCTTTTTTTTAATCTTTCCCCTCTCTCCTTAAAGCTGTTCCCTCTAGTTTGGGACTCCCCTACTCCAGGGAAAAGACCGTGCCTATTTCATGCATACCCGTCGTGATTTTATTAACCTCTATAAAGGTCACCCTCAGCCTCTGATGTTCCATGGAAAATAGACCCAGCCTATTCAGTAT